TTATTTGGTATGTTTTCATCACAAAAGAAGTGAAAATTTTTCCTTAGTTGCCCACTTTTCTCACCAATCTTCTTATTTTGAGTATTGTGCATGAAAAACCTATTTTTTAGCGAAATTTCAAAAATTATAGAAAAATGTATAAAAATTCCCTTGAGCTCATTTTTATCTCTAAACCTTTCTTAAAGAGTTAGATTTCAAGGAAAATTGGTTTCATTAGAAACTAGTGAGCGGTTTGTGATAAAATCTGATTTTCGTAATGGTCGACGAATCTGGACAGCGCTGGAGTGTTTCTTAAATAACAAAACATTTAGGAAAGCTATTCCATTTCTGAAAAATGTTCTAAAAACTTGATAAAATTCTCTACGAACCATAAGAAATTCGGGCACGGCAAAAATATGAAATGGTCCTTTTAATTTCAATATTTAAGTGGTTTTAAATTTGGAAATTCTGTTTCGCCTTGGTGATATAGCAGATGAGAGTTGTAGATTTTATCAAAGTAAGATCAGAGTTATTTTTGGAGATCCTTGAAGAAATATCGAGATTAGAGTATTGGTGACGGAGGAGATTGATTTGAGGTAATTCTGGTGGTATACAATATGATTCCTTTAAATCTTCTTGCAAACTGTGTTATTTTAATCACCTTTAATTTGTACACCTATTGATGATTTATATAATTTGATAACTTTTGTGGAATTATTCGTTGTTGATTCGTTTGATTACTCTAGTCATTTGATGAACTCTGTGTAGTTATTCTGTGTTGAAAATGTTAATTTGTCTTGCTAAATGACGTGGAATGCTCCGTACATTGATCGAGTGGACTTTGCCAATATGCTCTGTACTAATAGCCTGGATAAGCGGTTGTGCTTGGGTGAGGGGGGTGAGGCCGGTCACTAGTCATGTACTGAGTAGGACTGGGTATTTGGTTCTGGATAAATTATCATATGTCGACTTGTTAGTGTAATTTGGTAAATTGCTCGGTATCTTAAATTGAATCATTTGTGTAATTATTGAATCTCTATGAATTTATTCTTTGTCCGAGCTTTGTTATTCCTGCCGTATTGTATGCTTCCCGAATTAATTTATTTTTCAGGTGCGGAGCAATTTAGTGGAGATTAGATTTAAAGTTCTAAAAATGATTATTAGAGTTAGATATTTTGGAGTCACCACTATATGTTATTATTATTATTATTTTGAGATTTGTATAAGATATATTTTGGATACATTTGTGTGATATAAATTTTTATTTTTTTTTGAGGTTATTAATTAGTTAGAGGTTTAAATTTGAGGTTGAGTTGATCTATTAACAGCTCAGAACTTGGGGCATTATACATTCGAATACCCAGATTCGAACAATGTACTCATGTTTGACTATCTACAACCGTACAAGTTCTAATTGTTCGATTTTCTAGTGTCGAACATAATCCACATATTCGGTTAATAAATTCTAAACTTATAGCATTTGTTTGGTTTTCAACAATCGAACTTTTGAATTTAGCTTGACTCTATATTTCTGAACACTTACAACAATTTTTTTTTAAAAAAAGTTTTTCTAGAACTGTGCATCCATGGAGGGGGTCGTGAATTAGAGGAGTATGGAGTAAAGTTGTCTTCATGAACGGCGATCGGTTTAGACTGATTCCCAAACCTTTGGGATGACAATAAAATAGAGAATGGAGGGGGACGTGTGTGTTTTTGAAGTGGACGTGTAGAATATGGAAGATTGAATATTGTGGGTGGGGTGTGTGAGTGAGTAAGGGTAAAGATGGAAGATTATGGTGTGTATTGAGTAAATTTCTTATTTATTAAATTATTAAAGGTGTGTCCTGAGTAGTGGTGTGTCCTGAGTAGTGGTGTATCTTGAGATGAAAGGTGATGTGTAAATAGAGATACCCGAGAGCTTGCCAAACATGTTCTGATATGTGTTTTGCAATGTTGGATGGGAATTAATTTTTAAGAACCATATCCAAACAAAGGCTTAGGGTTGGTTTGGGGTGCCCTAAAAAAGTGTATTTTTTGTCTTTTTACGAAAAGATGTGTAGAAAAGTAGGGAGGTGATGTGATGAAAAAAAGATAAAAAGATAAAAAGATGGATTATATAGTAGATCCCAAACTAGGCCTTAGAATTGCAGGGTTCTAACCAAACAGAGCCTAAAAAAACTATTAAAATAACCAAAAAAAAAAAGAAAAGAAAACTAAAAAATTTATGTGAAATAGTGCCCTACTAATCGGTCATAAGACCTTGTTTGGGGTAATCTAAAAAAGTCAAAAAGTCAAAATGTCACTATCCTATTTAGGCCAAGTTTGGCTATCCTAAATAAGTACACACTTTTTATCTTTTTATCTTTTTTCCATCACATCATCTCTCTACTTTTCTGCACATTTTTTCGTAAAAAGACAAAAAGTGCACTTATTTAGGACACCCCAAACCAACCCTAAATATCACATGCCACTCCAATGATAAAAATATGGGCGAATTACACTAACAGTCTCTATAGATTGAGGCTCGTATCACTTTATTCCCTAACTTTTCAGTTGTAACACATTTGACCATGAATTTTGAATTTTGTTCTAAATAAAGACAATTGAAGATACAATTACTCAATTTCAAGGGTAAAATCGTCAATTTGATAAAATATAAACTAATTGGACCAAAATAAATGTCAAAAAAATATTTTTGAATTTTTAAAAATTATTTCTACCCACCAAAGATAAAATTATGTAAAATTGATAAATCTTTTACATTATTTATTTATTTCACAGAATTAATTTTTATTATATGTTTGGATGATGATCATGTAATAGGTGGTTATTAGGCTTTTAATGTGTAATCAATAGATTTAATGTATGAAATGATTTTAGTTTTAGATTTTTTTTTAAATTTAATGGATTGGTTTAATAAT